CAGAAAACATAAGAAAATCGGAGGAGGAGGGCAAACAGGTTCATGACGTACGGTTGGCAACTTGGCAATAAAACCCAGAAGATACCGCCGCCTAAACGCTTGACACCGGAAATAGAAGTTAAAACTGGCAGGTGGGAGCGTTTCGAATGCTCAGAATTCGAAGAATCATAGTTGATTCCACCATGGCTACCATATGTGATCTTTGTTACTCGAGTCTTGACGTGGTGGTCGATGTAAGTAGTAGGAGAGCGCACCATCAGCTACAGCTTTGTTACTAAATCTCCTTCAGCTGTGATAAAATGCCTCTTAATGAAAACTAGCTGATACCCGTGCGTTCGCACGGGTCCAATTCATTCCCAATAATACATTTACATCGCGAGACAGGATTATACTTAAAACGGAGAGCATGATGTACATTAGAAAAATGGCTTAAGGATCAAAATCAAGGTTGGGGAGAAGGCGACGACAGGCTGCTTGCATCTGATCCGCATGCCTTCTTCAACGGGTTGGGAGTGGCCTGACTGAAATCTAACTTAAGCCCTTTGCGCTTCAAAGGAGTTGCTGTAGCTTTGAAGTTACGTTAAAATTAGTGAAAATACAGACAGAAAGAAAAGACAGGCATACCGGTGTCTGCAAATTCAACAGGAGTAGCTATAGGCACACCTGTCTTTGCTAAGATATTTATTATTGACCTGCTCAACCTCAACCTCAAAACATTGGATCTTCCCATCATCTTCCCAAAGAACATATGAGATAAACCCCAAAACGGAGACAGTATGTCCAACTTTCAGCTTCGGCATTGTTGGCCATCAAGAAGATGGTTCGATGATGCAACGGAGGGGGAGTGATGATTTCTTGGAGCCAGGTTTCAAGTTCTTGTTATAGCTCTTGTAGGTGTTACGCTTACTAGGTATTCCTCATTGAAGAGCATACAAATTTGGAGTTCAGCGCCAGCATTTTGACTTGCTCATAGCTCAATTTCACACTGGTCATGTTATGGAATGTACGGTTTGTGATTCGTGTATCATAGAATAACGGGGACATGCGTGCAGTAATGAATCGGCTTTGTAGAGTTAAAGGTGCAGAAAAGAATATGGGGGGGTAGGTCTCAGGCTTTAGGCAATGAAATTTGATCCCGGGCGGGGGTGTCCATGTAGTGATGAGGTGGGGAATTGGGGGAGGCATGTGCGAAGCATCTAGTCGGTGTCGTTTGACTCCGAGGGTTTCGACTTCTT